TGGTATGAACCAAGTCACAACACCTGAGGTTAATGAAAGCAAGGCAGCACGTGTCTGACCATAGCAGGCTATTGACATAATATGTGTTCATAAGTTTATAAGCAAGCAGAGCCGGTCTGACCATACGCTTCAGCGAGTAGACATAGTTACAGTTGAGGCTTCAGAATCCAGGCAGAGAGCGTCTGGACCATAAGCTTCTTGAGTACATAGTATAAATTGTAGGTTATAAATTGAGGAAGATATTTTGATACGGATGACTTAATACATCGGGTAATATATTTGATATTGTAAATACCTGATTAAACTATTCTTATTACAAGTTTAATGATTGTTTGATATGGTTGGCCTTACCCCCTTATTTGTTTATGCTAGGGCTCATATACTCATTTTCGTGATTAGATAATGTTGCAGATGTGGTTGAAAAAGCTTAGAGATGAGAGAGATGCGGGGAAAACCTTTCATGGATTTTTGTAAAAAGAATAAATTTGTATTTGGAAGATTATGTGGTGTAAAATTTAAAAGTTGAAATGTCAACGGTGAAGACTATATTGTTTAAAGTTTGTAAGTTTGGTATTGTACTTTGGTATAATTGAAATAAAGTTGATTGTTTATATGAGATATCGACATTCATTTAGTCTCTACTATAGAATACCCTTTAAACAATATTGGGTGTTTACATATGGGTATCAAAGCAATGGGTTTCGAAAGATGTTGGGGACTATTGGGAGTAAATATTATTCTTAGTAAACTATTATTGTTATAATAAACGACTAGTGGAGGAAATTGAATATCATATGCTAAATTTGTATTGTTATCTTTTTGAAAATCATTGAACTCGACAAGATGCACAGCAACAACAGTGGACAAGTACCCCTCAAAATCATTCTAGCTTGAATGACTTCTTAAGGCAGAGCCAACTAAATAATGGGAGCTACTCCGGATGGAGCGACTCTTGTCTAAGCGAACGAGAAGATTTTTCGTGTAATAACTTGCTCCTAATTAAACAAAAATTAACTTATCATCATTGCTTTTGGTGGGGAGGCTAATATTGTGCACGTAGGCAACATTGATGACAGTTCGTGGGTGGCTGTGAAGTTGTGAGAACTTTAAGATAGAGTTGCTTGAAAAATTTTTCCAAATAATGCAAAAGTTGCAAGGGAGGCGGAGTTCCTGACCTTACAACAAGGAGGTTATCAGTACAAAATTACTATAAAATTTAATAGCTCTCGAGGTTTTATACTCGAAATCACATAAGAATGGAGATGTCGAAATTCGAGGGAGGACAAGGCGAACGAAAAGGGTTCTTATCCATGGAAAGACAATAGTTTCCAATCCATAACTTTCGAAAATAAGTTATAAATAAATAGTAAAATACCTTACCACTTCTTCTCCTTGACGAAATTAGATCATATATTCAGTGCGAAGCTCTTTAGTATTACATGAATCTTGTCCCCAAGTTTTTTCAATATAGTTAAATTAATATATAAAAATAATCATTTATTTTTAATTTTATTCAGTTTTGTTATATATCATTCTATATCTATATCTTAATTTTTTTTTGTTTAAATAGATATGTTTTGACAACCCCGATGCTGTCACTCTGCATAGAGTTCTCTCTTTTCATAAATATGGAGATTCTACGCAATAACTCTTTTTTAGTGGACATATATACAATGCTTCTTTGAAAATCAACATACTGAACCTAACTTCAATCCTCCTATCTCTCCAAAGTTTCAAAATTTGTTGTTCACTTCAATACATAAACACATCTTTTGTTCTTACAAGTGAAACAAGTAGAATTTTACATATACTTTTAACCATTCTTAATTCTTTTTACTTGTGCTTTTTAATTGAACAAATAACAAACGAAGCAGGTTTTTTTCTTCTTCTAATTCACATAACAACAATGGTATAAACTTTGTACGAGAATGAATGTTTTTTTATTCTAAAGACTTGAGTGTTGTAATTAAGGTTTCACCTTTAAAAAGAAAAAAGAACAAATCTATCTCAAATGGTGCTGAATTTAATTAGGATTATGGATCTCTTAAAGGCGATTATTGGACGTCTCAATACAATAACATATGAGTCCAACTTAACTAAAAGATTTAAAGTTTCCATTTCCTCCACTCAATAATATTTGAGTATAGGTTTAAACTCTATTGTCATCGATTGTAGAACTTACTTGAATCCAACATATTGACATACGTTTTAATAAATTCAACTATCATTCCTAAAAAAACATCAAAAACTATCGTCATGTACATCAATGTATTGGTCAACAAATAAAATTATTAGTGTACACCCTCCTCAACAATCTTAATCAATACTTTTTATGTTAACAGGCACCAGATTGTGATCATTCTGTACATTTTGTATTTTGTGCTAACATTTATTTCCTCCTCACATTGTCTTTGGGAATGATTCTTCTTCATTCTTTGATGACAAAGTTTGTGTAAATTAAGCCAATAATCAATTGACATATACAATTAAGGCAATAATTAACTGGCATTATTTTGCAAAAGCATAATTATATAATACAGAGTATTTACTTAATACTAATATGGACTTATCCACAAGTATTGGTGAACCAATTCTGTATGATATCTCTTCTAATAGGGCGATTTGTGCTTGGGGTGCCTCTGATGGTTCCTCTGATAGTTCCATTGTTACTTCCTCTATTAATATTTGCTCTGTTGGTGCCTCTGCTGGTGCGTCTGCTGGTGCCTCTGATGTGAATCTTTTTGGTGCAAATTCTAGTTCTCCTAAATTGTCTTCCTCTTCATCATCAGGAAGATTATGTGCCTGATGAACCCTCGTTCACCATAACACTGCTTTGTCATAACAGCAACAATCATAATCAACTTTTGACTAGTTTTATATTTCAATCTTGTAAACACATACCAACATCAACTTACTTTTGTTTCATAAATATTTCAAATTACCTTCTAAGATCAAACTTTCCTTATAAAAGTAACACTGGACATGGTTTTCAGAAGATAAATCTAATCACATTATCATTGTAATATAAGAAGTAATATTAAATTAGGCACAGAAAAGGAGATAAGAATGAGACACATGTTCTTACCCAGCTTGTTGAACCCAATCATTGAAAGATCCTGAATTCATGGCCTCCTCAGCAGCCTTTTGAGCAGAACCATCTGCTACAACAACACACACAGCCTTCTCAGTCTCACCCCAACTATTGTGTCTTCAGAATAAACCTGCTTTGGGTGCGCTTCACTTTTTGCTTGCTCAATCACACTCAGCCAAGGATTATCATCACACAAAACTGAATGCAATGCCACACTCAACACCAATGCGAATACCAACCCTAATGATAGCTTTGCCATTTCCCTGTTTTGCTGATTCCTTATAGACAATTCAACAAACACCTTCACGACAGTACAATATCCTCAAGGCAGAAACAATTTACTGAAACTTTTATCTATTTGGGTCCTTATATCGTGCAAAATCATTGGATATAATTGACTTAACGAGGATCATAAAAGTGCTTTCTTGGGTTGAAATTGTTCACACAGTGTACACTTTTCATCTCTCCACATCCAAATTTGCTACAATTGTCAATTTTTTTAGTGTTCCTATCGTGTCAACTATTCAGCATCACCATCTTGTTAGGTTTTCTTTTGCAAAACAGTCATTTGCGGCTTTTCGAATTATGCACTCTAAGCTCTTAGTAGAGCTTCCTACAAAGATTGGTACAATTTTTTTAAAGGTGAGGTTCAGTAAGAAGATTACCAATTTCTTCTTCTTCTTTTGTTGGTTCCCGGACACACTCTAATTTTCTTTACAATTTCCTTTACTACTTTAGTTGGACGAGGATGGTTGTTAAAGACATTACGAAGGGGAAATTATTACTAAATCTTTTTAAGATTTAAATTCGTACTAGGAATCACGATGCCACTAATGAGTTTTGCTTATCATTTTTCCCAAATATATTTGACCATGTCTAGGGGACACCGTTGGACCTGTGGGGCCCGCCATGTTTCTTTTTCTTTCGGTATGTTGCACAGACTTTACGTTGTTTTTTTTCTAGAAGGGACTTCGCTGCTGTCAATTCACGTTGATGTTCGTGGAACCCTCGTTCCGTTGCTCATGTTATTATCATTGTTTTAATTCCCCAAGCACATTGCTTAATAATCTAAGAAAGTAAATGCTAAAACCAACCCAATTTTAAAGTTGAGAAAAAATATAGGATGTAATAAATGATATTTAAAAAATTTAAGAATATTATCTAAAAATATTAAAAAATGATAATTTTTATACTTTCTTATCAACCTGGGTTTAAATTTTTCTTATCAAATCCCCCACACACTGAGATAAAAGTCAACAAATACGAGCCATCCTATGAGAAAACTTTTGAGCAAAAGAAAGAAAATTTCTGACCAAAACATACTTTTTTTCATGGGTCCGCTGTTGACTCTTATTGGTTGCCTGTCAAAATCGTCATTTTTTCGTCAACATGATATGGTCAATGGTTGAACAATCCTACAGGAACAACCCTTCTTTACACGTCTTATCTAATGTGAACAAGGCCCAAGAGCAAAAGAATCAAAAGGGTACCATTTTCTTTTTTGTTTAAGTGCAAAATGACTCAATTATTGATTAAGGATAATGTAGCTGCTGCTATAAAATGGGTCCTTCTCTTTAATGTGTGTGCCGGCTGCTCAAGATATCGGTTTAGTTTTGCAGTATACGATCACATTTCTTCTTCTCTTTGTTGCTCATGTCTTGTGCTGTCTCTGAGCTCAACTCTACTTTTATGATGTCAAGAAACTGTGCAACAGTTTTGGAATTCCAATTTGTAGCAATTGTAAAGATTAAGGTACCATCTATCCTCGTTATGGTATCATGAATGTCACATCACCCACAAGTTTTTTTAAGGGTGTGCCTCAGTTCTCAATTTTGGACCAAAGTCCAAAGGACCTTCTGATATTCCAGTGGTTTTCAGGAATTTAAATTCAGATAAAACTTTGAACCAGTTCTGTGTTGGTGTTTTTAGTGTCATTCTTTAATCAGAACACTGTTTTAATCTATTTCAAGCCTTACATGGGAATTATCTTTGTGAAATTCTGGTAAAAAAACACAAGTATGTCCCTTCAATTTGAAGATTGAAGATAACCAAGTGAAGAAAAAAGTTCATCTGATTACAGAAATAGCAGTGTTCTGTTAGTAATAGTAAGGTTCTCTTTCAAGATGCTGAATAAGTGCAGCTAAACTAGTTGATCAATCATTTTGTTTATTGAGGAAGTGTTACATGAGATGAAATTATGTAAAACATAGGTATAATAGATAGATACCTTTATGTGATTTTACACTTCATTCATATTTTCATTTGTGCAGGTACACCATTCTTTGTGCTTAGAGCTTCAAAGACTCATCGATAGAATTTCACTTATAATTTTAGATATTGAATCTGCAAGACCAAATTGCAAGTTAGCGATGGAGGCATTGTGCTCATTAAATCTCACTTTGGCTAGAGCCAAATCAGTTATCAAAGATTGTTCAAAATGCAGTAAACTTTACCTGGTAGGCACCCTTTTGAACTTGAAACCTTCACTCAGATGATACTGATAGATCAATTCCAAATTAGTTTGATACATATAAATTGTCTGCCATAATCTTTGAATACTTTACACTGTTCATGCTTTGAAATGTTGGTCTGAAATGACTAACCTGGATTACAAACTGCTAAGGCAATCACATCCCGCAGGATACTTTCAAAATGTCAAAAACTAAGAAACGCTTTTGAGCTGTACTTGACAGAGATTCAAGGTGCAGTTACAATACCCTTGGCTGATAAGGTTGGTTACAATTTTTGATTAGCCTCTTGCATCTGCATAACATGAATATGTTTGAGTTAACTTCTTATGAAACACTTATTGAATTAAAACTATAGTTTTAGAAGAAGTAATAAAGGAAATAAGCATAAGTTTTAGTTTTAATTCTTCATTTGTATTTTCTTTTCTAGTTCATAGAGAAGTTTATGTAAACAAATTTAAGATTTTTCTTTGTATTAGTGTGACTTGTGATTTTTGAAACTTGGTAATATCTGAGACTGGGAATTGGAATACAGATATCTGCAATACTACATGACCTTAGGAGTGCAAAATTTTCCCTGGAATTTACAGAAGAAGAGGCTAGGAAGGTACTACTTTCACTGTTTGAGAAGAATTTCTCAGATAAAGCTTCTATGGAAAAGGAAGAACTTGAAGCTATACAGATTGCAACTTCTAGATTGGAGATCAAATCTGCATTTTCTCTCTTAGTAGAGAAAGCAACAATTAAGAATCAACTTGATGAAGTGAATGAAACAAACGCAAAGGAGAAGGAACTTCTAGAATACCTTTTGTATCTCTTGATCAAATATAGGAAAACCATTTGTCAGTTTGAAGATGGAGACCACTCACCAACACATGATTTTCATGATCAATCCTTTGAGCATGAGTTGGTTGTTGAAGAAGCATTATGTGAGAAAAAAGTCAATGATGAAGTTGGAGATTTATGATCATTTGATTCTTCAGGTTGTCTTACTTGTGTTTATTGTTAGTGTCTAGTGTTCATAAAAGGTGATTTTTGAATTCAAAACAAGCGTTTGTGTTTTGTTTTGTTAGGATCCTAATTGATTGGATTTGTCCCAGAGTAGCAGAGTGGAATAAGTTTTAGGAATTCAGTTTTTGTTTTTATGTAATTATCTAATCTCAGAAACAATGACCCCTTTCAGAAATTAGGGGTCGGATCATTTTGGAAATTTGTGATCAGAACATTTATTGGCATTTTCTATATTCCTTTAGTCATAGCAGCAGCTAAGATGCAGCATTCTCACCTAAAAAGGACGAAGCAATCTTTGGTCTACAAACAAACAAATGTAAAAATAAAATAAAAAATACATTTGTCATAGGTTGAAACTCGTGACGAATTCGGTTTATTATGAGTCAGATTGAGTTTGGTTTAAAAAGAATTAAAATTTCGATATAAGTTAATTTTGAGCTCGACTCTCTAAAAATTCAGTTTACTGGTTAATTTCGTGGTAAATTAGGTTGGTTCACCAACTACCCAATTTTTTAAGTTATATTATTACAAATTTAATACTTATTTTGGTTCTTATATTCGTTATTTTTGTTCAAAGTGGTTTTTAAGTTTATCGACTTTCAAAGTGATCCATTTTTATGTAAATTTGTTTAATTTAGTCATTTTTATTGAAGACATCTAAATTGTTAACTACACAGAGTCAAGGTCCGCCATCAATGAATAACATGGCCCATTTTATCTGACGCGGCTGCCCACCTCATCATTTCTATCCTTGCCACTTTATCATCTTCCATCTTCAACTTCGGAAACCCTAGTTGTCATGGCCTTGCGCACAATAGTTTACCACCGTGAACCCAGGTTCACGCCACCGTGAAAATCAATCCATGCCAACACCATCTTCGCAGCGCCAACCTCCGTCACCACAGCGCCACCACGAAACCTCGCGCCTATGTCAACCATGTCAATCGTGGCACCTGAAAATAGAAGAAACACAACCCAAGAACAACAATCACCGCTAACAAGAATCTCTTGCGACTTCATTTCCTCAAAACCCCAAATCGCAGCCACAGTTAATCGTGAAACCACCATCGCAAAATCTTTTTCATCGCCACCAATAGACCACCATGATGCATCAAACATTTGCCATTGTTCTCCTTCCACCTCCTTCATCATCAAAAACCTGAAGCACACACAAACACGGTGAGGAACATTGCGCCACAGCAAGAAAGAACCCTAAAACCTTAATACAACAAACACAAGTTAAGAATACTTACCTGACATACGCTCCTCCAATTGCAATTTCAACTAACAACGAACACAAATTGAGCAACAATTTCACCAATTTTTTCAACCCAAATTGAATAGCCCCTTCGAAACCAATATTAATATCCTTTTACAAAAACATCTTTAATTTAACATTGTCATCTCATTTCCCCTGAACTTGGCATGTATATTCAAAACTGACAGTTCACTTAATATTGGTTTAGTGGACACTATCTCGTTTAAAATATCAAATTGAACAAATGTTACAACAAAATGAATTATTTTCTATAGGTATTTATACATCGAAAAAACTCAAGGACCATTTAAACAAAAGTTAAGAATATAAAGATCAAAATAGATATTAAGCCTATTATTATATTATAAAATTTGTTAGTTTTTTAGACCCATTATGAGCCATTAAGTTATATTATTAACATAATTTGAATTAACTTTATTTAGATTTTAAGTAGAAAAAATTATTTTTTATTGAGAAAAAAAAACTATAATTAAGTAAATTGAGTTAATCCGTTTAATCACTAACTGTGATGGATCTGGTCGAGTTCGAAATTTTTAAACCTATTAATAAGTGAATCGAATTAGATTGACTCATTGTTACTAATTTTTTTCGTTCTTTATAAACTCTTATTTTTTGAATTGATATTTCTTATTTATTGTAATTTAGAAATTTTATTATATTTAAATTTAAATAACTCAAATTAGAGTTTATTTCAAGTACATGTAAAATATAATAAAAATAAATATCAAATAAAGATGAAAAAAATGTAACTAATAAAAATGAATAAAATATTTGTATTTGAACGAAGATGAACACAATTTCAAATAAGATGAGATGAATGAAAATAAAAAAAGACGAAGGACAAAAAAGTTGAATGTAGATAAAAGAAAAAGAAAGCTAAGAGAAAGACAGAGTTACTTCGAAAATAACTAGGAATGCAAGGTCTTAGTAAATAGGATGTACAGTAAATACATACATTTGATAAATTTATTTAATTTATATATAAATATATATATATTTTAAGGATATATTTGACATTGAAATTTAGAAGTGCAGGAATAAAAGTTGAAGGTGCAGTAAGAAAAAATGGAGTTGGAGGATGAAAGTTCCTTACAAAGACTTTGGGCCTATGTCTTAATTTCAGTTTCTTCTTCACCTTGTTGTCGTTGAGTAAGCAAGTTACTATTGCAGAGTGAAGCTCGATAAACCTAAAACCCTTACACAGTCCCATTCAGTTCTTCAAATTTCAATCTGAGAAAGCATGAGTTGGAGAACTATAGCTTCCACTTCAAGACACACGTTCAAGAGACTCAATGCCATCTTCCGATCCCATTCCGCCATCTTCCCTTCTCCGCAGCACTCACGCGCCTCCTTTGCCGCCTTCCTCCACGCGCCGTTCACCACCACCACCCTTCACTCCTCCCAACCCACCAACGCCCTCATCGACCCCAAAGTCCATGCGACGCAAAACGACGCCGTCGACGACAACGAAGACGCAACGAACGAGTTTCTATCGCGATTTGTGTGGATAATGCGGAAGAAGGTGAAGGAAGCGTACCCGGAATCCGACAAAGCCACCGTGGATGGCATGCTCGTGGGGATCGTGGAGAGGGTTACGGCGGAGATGGAAAAGGGCAGGGGAGTTGAAACGGCATCATTGGGTTCGGGGGATTTCAGCGAGGATTTGTGGGGAACGGTGTGGGAGGTGAGCAATATGGTGTTGGCGGATATGGACAAGGAGAGGAAGAAGGAGAAAATGAAGGGCTTCTTGCAGTGCGAAGAGGTTAAGGAAATGTGCAGATTCGCCGGTGAAGTTGGCATTCGCGGCGATTTGCTTAGGGAGCTTAGGTTCAAGTGGGCGCGTGAGAAGATGGAGGAGCATGAGTTCTACGAGGGTTTGGAGAAAATGAGGAAGGAGGCACAGACTGAGGGGAAGGAAAGTGGTGTTGGTGAGGAGGGGAAGAAGGAGAATGTTGCTGTTGGACTTCCCAAGAGGAGAGGGAAGATAAGGTACAAGATTTATGGGCTTGATCTATCTGATCCCAAGTGGGCACAAGTGGCTGATAGGATCCATGAGGCAGAGCAGGTGTTTTGGCCGCAGGAGCCGAAGGCAATTATGGGGAAAGCCAAGATGGTTAGGTCGAAGATTCTGTCGTGGAAGGATGATGATGATGATGGTTTGCAAAGCCTGTTGAATGAGTGGGCGGAACTTGTTCAACCTAGCAGGGTGGAATGGATAGATTTACTTGACAACCTGAAAGAGCAGAATCGTAGTCTGTACTCAAAGGTATGTATATGCACGACAATTCTTATATGAACTTCTTAATTTTGTCATGTATTTTATGGTTATGTGGTTATATGAATTACTTATTTGAGAACTTGGAATGATCCTAAGGATATGTTTCCGTATGCTGCTAGTGAAAATTTTAGGAACTTTCATGCAAAACACGCTTTTTAAGTGAATTACTTTGATTCAACATAGGTGGCTGAAATGTTATTGGCTGAAGATTCTTTCCAAACAATTGTCTCTGACTACTCTAGGCTTATTGATATCTATGTTAAAGAGGACTGCTTTGATGATGTTGAGAGATTGCTGAAGAAGATGAGCGAAAATGGTATACAACTAGATGCTGCAACGGCCAGTGTGTTGGTCCACATGTACTGCAAGGTAGGCAATCATGACCGTGCAAAAGAAGCATTTGAAACCTTGAAGGGACTGGGTTTCAAACCGGACTTCCAAGTCTTCAATTCAATGATCATGGCATATGTGAATAATGGCCAGCCTAATTTGGGCGAGAAATTGATGAGGGAGATGGATTCAGGAAATATTAAACCCACGGAGGAAATATACATGGCATTGCTCCGATCTTTTTCTCAACAAGGTGATACTAAAGGAGCTGACCGAATTTCATTAGCTATGCAGTTTGCAGGATTCCATCAGAGTATGGAGGCATACACCCTACTTATTGAGGCAAATGCACACATTGGTGACCCTTATCAGGCAAAAAGCCATTTTGACTACATGATAAAACTTGGGCATAAGCCTGATGATCGCTGTGCTGCTAGCATGATTGCAGCTTATGAGAAGAAAAACTACTTGGACGATGCATTGGAGCTTCTTGTGCAGTTAGAGAGCGATGGGTTTGAGCCTGGGGTAGCCACTTATTCTGTTCTTGTGGATTGGTTGGGTAAGTTGCAGCTTGTTGATGAAGTTGAGCAGATATTAGGAAAAATAGCTTTGCTGGGTGAGGCTCCTCCTTTTAAGCTTCAAGTAAGTCTCTGTGATATGTATGCAAGGGTTAGAAATGAGAAGAAGGCCCTTCAAATTCTAGGTGTACTGGAATCTAGGAAGGATGAATTAGGAAAAGCTGATTTTGAGAGAATTATAAGTGGCCTTATTGATGGTGGGTTTCGGCAAGATGCCCAACGAATATGTGGGATCATGGAGGCGCAGGGTTTCGATGCATCAAAGGTTAAGGTCAACCTTTTGAAGCCTGTCTCTAGAGGACCTCGTATGAGATAGTTTAGTGGTAATGAATTGGGACATTTTAGTCTTTCTCTGCAAGTGAGTTACAAATGTATTGCCTTATATAGGAAGCAATGTCTGCATGATTTATCATACCATGTAACAAATAAGAATGAATTTGTTTATGGATTTTTCCATTGCTCAGATTCTGAATTTACGCCATTTTTTTTTTCTTTTGAACTTTAGTTGTTTGTATATACAAATGTCTTCTGTGGCATGTTCATGGAATTTTCATTTCCAATTATTCAATATTCTTGTGGTGTGATCATCACTTTTGTTAGGCAAATCTGACAGCACTAATGCCCCCTATCAGGATTTTTAAACTTGTATGCGGTATACTATACTGATCACAAGATGCAAACTAATATAAATGGATAGGAAATGCAGATGGGATGGTTCAAGCAAGTCTTTAATATTGAGATA